TTGGGGAAATTACGAGAAAAAAGTCGTAACATTACGAGAATAAAGTAGTAATTTTATGAGACCTGTCAGCCTGTTGGCTCAGCCAGCAAAACTGTTTGACGACGAAATGATCAATACGTTAGTTTACCTGTTGACTGTACGGTACGACTGAGACAAACAGCGGCTGCTGGGCTCAGGCTGAGGCTGCTGATTGGTTGAGCTGCTCACGTCAGATCTTGATAACTCTATCGAAGCTTTTTTCTCATTAAAACGACTTTTTTTCTTGTATTATTATTACATTATTCTCATAACATAAAGACTTTATTCTCGTAATATTACAACTTTATTCTCGTAGACCTAATATTATGACTTTATTCTTGTAATATTATGACTTTATTCTCGTAATTTCCCCCAAAAATTAATAATTTTTTCTCTTAGTCTGGCCCTAATACTCCGTCATATGAGTGAGTTGCCTGTAGTGAAAAGTGCTATTAATAAATAAATGTAATAGAAGTTACATTGACTCACCACTTGCTGATTTAGTACTGTCCTGTAAGGGTTGAAACACATCTGGGCCTGTATTTGTCAGGCCACTCAGAGTAGGAAATCGGCTCTAACTGGCCAAAAACTTCCCAGTGACCTGAGTCTGATTCAACTTGTAACCCGAGGAGTAAAAACATTTAATCAGCTCTCTAAACTTAGGAAATAACTCCTACATGTGCTTATGTTAAGGAGAGCCAGGAGATGTTGTTTAGACATTCTGTGGGAGGAGAGATGTTTGTTTATGACAATGAGGATATTAAAAGATACTGTGGGTGCAGTCCCTGTGATGGATTTGTCTGGATTTATGTTCTATGGTGTTCATACCTGCTAACTGCTGGCTGTCAGCTGTCAACATCTGTCTCCTTACTCTCATACGCACTTGCACTTTGAGCTCTGTTCATGCAGTTGCTTTAGGTTAGTTTGTAGATTCAGCTGTCACCTCAGCACACCGCAGCTCTCTTCACTCGCACTCTCTGCTTATTTCTTTGACTTTGTCAATATTCTTGCTCTGTATTTATCATAAAATAACATGAGACATGACCTTTTAAATTCTTTGCCTCCCTATGAAGTGTGTAATTGTTTGTACGTCATAGTGAACTGGTGGAAGTGAGACTCTTTGCCCCCTCTGCACTGGTCCTGGTTGTCCTTATAAGGCATCCAGTGTACAGACCCTGGCAGCCGCTGTCTCTCAGATCCTCTTATGGTCTTTAAAGGAGACTCTGGGTGTCTGGAGGTGAAGAATGTGTGTGTAAATACGCAGGGCAGCCTCATGTAAATGTGACAAAGTGTTTGAGAAAGGCTGAACTGACAGCAGGACAGGTTATTGGATGCTATGTGAGTGTCTGACGGCAGGTCAAACATGGAGATAAATCAGCTCCTCTCTGGGACGGCATTAAGATGATAGGAAGGTTGAGTTAATGTGTGTATTTGCTCCCTGCAGGCCTCCTGTGTGATCTGCTGTGGTCGGACCCAGATAAGGACGTCCAGGGCTGGGGAGAAAATGACCGTGGCGTCTCCTTCACCTTCGGAGCAGATGTGGTCAGCAAGTTCCTCAACCGGCACGACCTGGACCTCATCTGCAGAGCCCACCAGGTACAGCGCACACTAATGGCTTAGTTAATGTGTTTGCATAAAGTCGAAAAAAATCAGATGATGCCCGTGTGAAAGCAGCGTGTCACCTCTTCACTGTGTAACGTTCCTGTGCGTCCGACGCCCCCAGGTGGTGGAAGATGGTTACGAGTTCTTTGCAAAGAGGCAGCTGGTGACTCTGTTCTCAGCTCCCAACTACTGTGGGGAGTTCGACAACGCCGGCGGCATGATGAGCGTGGATGAAACCCTGATGTGCTCCTTCCAGGTATGAAGTTACCACAAATAGCAATCCAAACACAACTGAGACCAGAGTCTGTATCTCAGAAGCCCTCTGAGGACTCACAGGGACAGCATGCGTCCTCCGCTGCATCCTAAAAGTAGGACGTGAAATGCATCCCTCTGAGAAGTTTTGGTCAGTTAGGAGTGATTTCCTACCCCAAGACGCTTGATAAATACGGTAGCTAACGAGTGAGCATCAAATCATACTGGCAATGATGTGAGTTTGCAACACATTAGAATAAAAAAAATTAAATCCACACACGCACATCAAACAGGACAGGACAATATGAGAATAACCTCCTTTACACACACAGTGCAGGTTCTGTAATTTATGAGCTAATTCTGTCGTTCCCGTGTGTGTTCCTAGATCCTGAAGCCATCTGAGAAGAAAGCCAAGTACCAGTATGGAGGGATGAACTCGGGACGGCCCGTCACTCCTCCCCGCACAGCCCAACCTCCAAAGAAACGATGAAGAAGGACGGAGGGAGGAAGAGACGCAGAGAATGAGAGGGAGAAAGATGATTGTCTCCTGTTGGCTTTTCACTACACAAAATAAGTCAAAGCAACACTTGGCAGAGGAGGAAACAAACGAACACAACTATTTTAAGAGACACACCCAAACCTGTCTCATTTTCATTTTCATTTCATTTTCAAAGTCTCCCTCTGAACTGCTGTCACTCTCTTCTTCCTCAACGCTTTTTTTTTTCTCTGCATCTGTGTAACATTTTTAAAAACGAGTGTTAAAAGAAAAATGAGAAAACAATACAAAGGTGTCATTCTGTAGCATATCGGAGTGTTTTTTGTTGTCTCTTTGTCCTTTGCCTTTTATTTCTTGACAACAGAATGACAGCTAGTTTAGTTTACCACATCTCCTTACTCCCCTGCCTGTAGAGGCACAACAGGTATTAATGACGACTGCTGGGTTTTCAATAAATAATACAGGAAATAAATCCCTCTGGATGTTCTGTGTGGTTCTTCTGGAACGCGACACAAAGCTGCAGCGTATAAACGCTACGACACAGGTGAGGAAGAGGCAGCCTGTCGGTTCTAGCTCTGGTTTTCAGCCCTGGCTCGACCCCTGACCCCTGTGCCGCTCAGTGTGAGCTAACATGTTGTTAGCCTGCTAACTTTGTTCAACAAGTTTGAGGTTTGATTTGTTAATGTGGAACAGCAGTGTGCTTAAATAAATTACAAAAATGACTCAAATGAACTACAATGAATTGATTTATTGATGCTTATATAACATAGTTTAAAATTAAAATGGAATTAACATATTTTGGGTTCCATTAGTCTAATTTTTACAATTTAGTTTTCTTTTGCGCTGAATATTGAAACAGAATTTTGGATTGGGCCTTTTTAAAGTACACTTATTTTATTGTAAAGCCTACTTCATCATATAGATATTTTTACTCTATATTGTGAAAATGACACCAACAGATTGATTTCTCAGTTAAAATCTAAAATAAACATCAACATGTATCTGTGGTGACAATCCTAGGCCCTGTCCTTCACACGTGGACACAGTGAATTGTGTGATGAGTGATTTTGTGGCTCTTCACAGCTGACTTTAACTTAATCTAGTTCAGAGCATTAAAGCCTAAACTGTACAAGCACTCTGGATCATAAGGCTCAAAACTGCTCAAGTTCAACCCCCAAACATCAAATGACATCAGATTCAGATCTACGATTTTAGATGAGAACATGTAAAATGTTTCCTTATTGAAAACTGAGACTTTTAACTAAAAAGCATTAAGTCAAATGGAAAATACAAAAAAGGCTTTCTGATAAAAGTAGCCTAGTCTGCTCTGATTGGTCAGCACCCACAAGCCTGAGCAGGCCCCGCCCACCGTGTTTCTGTCTCAGCTGTTTGTGTTGAGCAATGAGCAAGCTAACATAGCCGCTGGGCGCTAATTAAAGTTACATTACAAACATTTCCAAGCGAGTTAATTCGTTCAGTTTGACCATTTATTTTGCACACGTCTGTGAGATGGATTTACATCCAGCAGCAACATACAGTACATATACATAGAATAACTGAGCTAACGCTACTGCTGCAGTATAAAGTTCCATAAAGAGCAACATGAAAGCTACCCGCATCAAACTTACCACTCACTTCATTTAGTTAGCTCCAAACGAGGCTCTAGTTTCTAATTTAGTCCGACCCCCGCCGCCCCCCCTCGCCCCCTGCCTGCTGTGGGTACATTCATAGGTTTCAGTCGGGCCTGGACTGTCACATTACCTATGCTGCCCTCTAAAGGATAACTGCTGTAACTACACTAACAATGAACCAGAAATGGTTTCCAAGTCTCACACTCATTTCATTTATTACATTAAATCTGTCTTATTATCTGCATGTTTTAAAAAGTTGAAATCGATGAGTAATTAAGAAAAGAAATCAAGCAACCCTCAAATATAATTGAGATGTTTAACCTTTTAAGATAACTTGACATTTTTTTAAGTTGTAAAATCTATATAAACCTGTTTTTAGAATCTTGTCTTATAAATAAATATTAAACAAATCTTTGTCAAATGTTAAAATTGTTGTATTTTTTTCTGTATAGATTATAAGTTTAAGTTACATAAATTATGACTTAACTACAAAGAGTGCATTGTGACACAGATACAACAGGTTGTACAATCTTTTTTTCTCTAAGAGCAAGACTGAACTTTGTCACAAGATAAAACACATTTAAGAGTTCAATTTCAGTCCGAACTCAACGTTAAACAAATTGTAGTTATTGTAGTGCTGCTGTTTCTCTATGATGTCAGGAAACGGACGAACAGGCTGAACACAAACGAGGCAAGCAGTGTAGCCGTTTTCTCCCTTTTCAGACTTTTTAAATGCACAAAAAAAAAAAACTATTTAAACACACTAACGCACAGGGAAAACCCCGAGAGCATAATATGACCTCTTCAAACGGATCACATTAGCCTGAATTAGTTAGTAGCTGACCTGAATGGAACAGAACCTAATTAGCATCACTGAAAACACATCTGTTTACTCAACTATTTCAGGTCAAAATGGCTGCTGTGAAGAAGGACTTTTATACTCATAAAAAAAAAAAGAACAGTAGTCTTGTGAGGCCACAGGTTGACAAACACCCAGCCGGTTATAACCATCCATTTATTGACAGTCAGATCCAAAGATACATTATGAACATGCACACTCTCTTCCCTTTTACTGTCACTCAGGAGACACAGCCTGGTAGTTCAACCCTTTGTGTGCGCATCTTCTGCCAGCATGTGACTGTATTAACGCTGCGGTCGCACCATATCAGAGACAACAAAAACACGGACCTCGGATCAGTCTGGTTTCCTCGCTAATGTCGGAGGACTTCCTGCTGTGCCCCGTGTTGACACATGCCATTAGCAACACAAGCACAGACTAATTAGCACGAGGAGGCAGACAGCAGCTTGTATTTACAGTCAATCCGATATGATGTGAACACAACATGAGCCTTTTAAACTGAGTCTTATTATTATTATTATTATTATGGCTGATTATTATTATTATAATTAGGCTGAGCTGCAACTGTTAGAACATCTGCAGCCATGTACCATATATTGCCTGAGAGCTATCCATATCAGTCTACGTTCCTTATACACGAAGCTCAGAAGTAGAACAAAAATAAAGTATGACATGGAATTAAGCATTATACTGTATGGTTCATTTCAGCTTCCTACTGAAAATACAGAAGACTCAGACTCAGACTTTAGTTAGCATTAACTAAATCTGACCTTCAGGACTGGCAGGGTTGAACGAAACCAAAATTAAATTTTTAAATGCTCATTGTTGCCAGTGCAAGTACTGGCTGTGTTTTGTCTTACATCGCTATTATTGTGTTTGCTGTAAACCATTGACCCCATTATAAATGCATGTGTTCACTTTAAAAAGTACCATTAATAATGCTCCCATTGGTACTCAGACCTTGGTTCATTTGAAGCAGCAGCTGTTACAACACCAATTCTCAAATTTACATGTGCATGACACCTCATACAATACTCATACAGAAACTCTTCATTTACAGAGTCAGTAAATAAAAAAACAAAAAAGCACTTGAGCAAAATAAAAACATTTTGCTGATCAAAGAAATCTACATCAAGCTGGAGAAATAAGTTAATTCCTCTACAGGAAGAGAATAAAAAATCCCAACAAACTGAAAGTATTTGTGTCATTGGCACTTTTGTAGCAATGTCTAAAAAAATCCAACTATTACACATAGTTAAGTGGCTAATACAATATCTATTTAATATTAAACTCATCATTTGCAGTGCCTTTTATTGTTTTTATTTTCACATCTGATTAATGGTCGCATTACTCCATCAGTCCATTAAGTAACAAGACAGCAGCTGCCAGTTGTTGTCAGGAGATGTTAGAGATGTATTTCTTGTAGTTGCATCATAGCATCAGTGCCAGCCCTGGGCATGTCTAATGAAGAATGTTGTCATACTCACAAAACCTGTTAACATAAAGTCTGGCCTGTCACCAACGAATGTGATCAAGTATCACCTGGTGCTGTAAACTCCACTTCCTGTCCAAGTAGTATCCCCAGTCACAGAAGAAGAACCTCAGTCTTTCGACCAGTAGGTGGCAGCAGTAGCTTGGTGCAGGTTTGTATTGCTGCAGTGGAGAGGAGACTGGGAGGTGAGGACTAACTGGAATTGGAACAATGCCCAATGGGTACCCCGGACACAGACATGTTAAAGAACTCCCACCTCTCCTACATAGCAGCAAGACACCCAGACTGAGACACAAAACCACTACAAACAACACATCTGTTTTGTGGTCTCTTTGTAGTCAGTTGTGTCTTTGTGGCCATTTTGCATCTCTCCCCAGTTTGTGGTTGTTTTGTGTCTCTGTGGTTGTTTTGTATGTCTTCCTAACTGTTTGCGGGTCTTTGTGGTCCTCTGATTGACTTTCCAACAGGAAGTCTCATCTGTCACTCCTAACAGAGGCTCTGGCCCAGGGGCCCTAACTCCTTTGACTGCTCGGGCCCCTGAGCCTGTGCCTGTTTGGCCCCTTCAGTAATCCATCTATACATTATAAATATCCTTTTGTTTGTTCAACTTCTGTAACATTGAGCCATTTCATTAGAAAATACAAAATCATTCTAGGCAGAAAAATACATCAAAAGTACCTAAAGAAGTTTCACGGTAATCATTCAAGTCATCAACCAAATAGAAAACATCTATCTCTTTTCAAAATCCAAACAAATGCAGTATAACACCAAAGCAGAAACAACTACTTCTATTGTACCTAGGTTTTCTTAATTGCAGCATATGAATAAAGTCCGTCCTTCTAGGAAGTCCCTTTATCTACATAGAATCAGCTGAGAATGCCCATATAACTACTGACAACAAAAGCTATAATAAACATAAATAAACCTAAAAATGTAGAAACACACAACAATAAACATGGAAGTCCAGCACAATCAGTCCTATACATTGTATGTACAGAGAATCTGTTCTAACCTTACAGGAAGTAACATAACTAGGACTCATTCAGAGGAACATGCAGCAAATCCCTTGTTCCCATTCAAAGGGAATCCTGTCAGTCGTTTATGACCAGTACCGCTTCATGAGCTGTGTTTTCACAGCGTCACCCGGGCTCCCTGGTTGTCAGGGCCGTCATGCTGTAACACGCACAGCAGCTGACCGATGAGTGGAGAAACAACGAGAAGGTCGTCCAGGAGGGGCACACTGATGATAAACTATTTATCATATTCCACCCTCCTCCAGGTGTGTATGAAAAATATTCTAGTGTCTACGCAGTGCTGTATGTGTGTGTGTGTGTGTGTGTGTGTATGTGTGTGAGAGAGAGACTAGACCAGAGCTCGGAGGGGGAAGGACAGGGAGGCTCCAATGGACAGACCCAGGGCCAGGAAGAAGGTCATCAGGGCTCCTGCAGTCTCTGCGTCTTTAGGTTCCACCAACCTGATGAGAGAGCACAAGCTCAGCCATTACACATTTAATCACAGCCCTGTTTTATTAAGTCTTAATTAACTACAAATCAGACTTTACATTATGATGTTCATTTTCAAGAGTACAAATTATCTCCAGACAGCAGTCAGTTTATTTCACCACACTAGAAAATCTACTTGCTGAGACTTGAGACCTGCATAACACCACTATCAGTTTTTGTGTCAAAGTTATTCTTTGTTGTCATGGTGATTCTTGTTGGTGCGTTCAAGAACACCCAGAGCCAAGAGTTGGGAGCTGCATAGCATGGCATTCATGAGCTGTATATTAAAGGTTATTATTGTGATTTTAATGACATCAAACTCCATTTTTGGTAAATGAACCTGTACTTGTACAGCGCCTTTCTAGTCTTCCGACCACTCAAAGCGCTTTTACACTACGTGCCACATTCACCCTTTCACACACATTCACTCAGTGATGGCAAAGTCCATCGAACAGAAACTAACATTCATTCACATTTACACACCGATGCATGGCATCGGGAGCAATTTGGGGGTTCAGTATCTTGCTCAAGGATACTTCGACATGTGGCACCAGGGGCTGGGGATCGAACCTACAACCTTCCGATTTAGGAACAACCCGCTCTGCCTCTGAGCCACAGCCGCTAAAACACAACAGTGGGATATGACTGTGTATCCTGCACTCAGATGTAACGCGAGATGTAAAATGTGACTAGAATCGTCTCATCTATTCAGCATCGGTGATAAACTCGTACTCACTGTGGCGCGTAGGACATGGAGAGGCAGACGAAGTAGCCACTGGACACCGAGAAGACGGCCATGATGAAAGCAAAAGCTGCATCGTGGGAGAATAAGACGGGAAGGTAGGAGCGATTCTGGACATTACAGAGCATCAGCAAAGGGATGAACACCACCCTGGAGACAACTAGCGCCGGGAACAGGCGCGACTCTTTACAAGGCTGTGGGGGAGAATGGGGGAGCATTAGTTAGAAGATAGTAGAGTGAGAAGTGGATTTGGTACATGCAGGGATATAAAAAAGGCATACATTTGGATGGATATTGGTCGGTGTAGCTTTTGGTCATTCAATTTGTATTAAACAATTTTCACTTTAAAACTTAAAGAAATGATGTGGGGTTTTTTTCCTGACTTTGCACCATTTGCTTTCTTGATAATTAAAAGATGATTTAGCATTTTTAGACCTCTAAATCATATTCATACTAAACAAGAACGAAAAACACTGGTCACAACCGCTAATGTACAACCAGTGACAAAAGCTCACAAGTAGACATGTTTCTTTTTAAGAGGTAACTGGCAAATCATGTAAAGAAATGAGCTATAGGGCATGTATAGTGTAGTTGGTTCCATTATTAAACTGTAGGACAATGAAGCGGACGCAGGATGATGACGTGATCAGATACTCACCCAGCGTATTACGGTGGTGATGGTCCGACCGAACCAGTCGTTGAGGTTGAAAGTCAAGAAGCAGCACACCGAGATAAAGAAGCGTTCTGAAGAGAGAATGAACAGCAAGAGAAACAGGAGAGGAACAGGAGGATATGATCAGTCACACACGAGAGCATTGAAGAGTTTACACCAGAGATACACTGTGTGCAGACACGTATATATCCAGTAAGTGTATGTAGAATGCAGAAGGTCCAATCTAATCAATCAGAGATGAACTGAGGATGGGTCGTACCCCATTTTCCTGGGAATGATGTTCTGACATCTGCAGTGACAGCAGGAAAGACGGACAGAGTGACTGTAAACACAAACGTCACGCAGAAAGCCATTACCCAGATCTGGAAATGAAAGAAAACTTTTTAAAATTGTTATACTTTGAATGGGACTAAAAACAAAGTACTGTTTGTACAAATGGCATGTTAATGAAACTATGTCAGTAACTGTTGAGACTGTAACATCAAACCTTTTTGAAGACCTCTATGACCGAGGCCTTGGCCTGGCCCTTCTCGGGCTTCTCTTCTGGCTCCAGCGACAGGAAGGCGTGCTTGGTCCCGTCGTTATCGGGGTCGACCTCGACCTCAGCTGGAGAGCCACCAGCTGAGCCGTTAGCATGGCCATTCAGCTTGCCGTTCTCCACTGTGCTGCTCTCTGCAATTGAATACATACATATTACTGCCTCTGATCCAGTCCCGCATACAGATGCTATTGTTCAACGTGGGCCGAGGACATATTTCAAACATGACGACTGGTTTAGTGAATGACTTGAGTGAGAGCACCCCTGTGGGCTTTTTAGCATTCATAGAAACCACCACAAGAGAGTCCCAGTCTGTGTGAGTCTCTGTGAGTCTCTGTGAGTCTAACAGGCTCTGTCTTTGTCCCAGCACTGCCAGGACTCTAATTGGATAAATAGAGGGTCAACTTACTTAACGAGATAATGTTCCACTGAATTGATTTGATTCAGGCAGACGGTGAAGGGCAGAATTGGGAGCTCAGTGGAAAAGCAAACAGATGTTCTCTCACTGTCAGAGTGTTTGATGATCTTAACTCCACTAATGTTAAAGAGCTTGCACTTTCGAGGAGCTAAATCCCACCTTTCAGCAGCTCGTCTGTGGTTCCCGCCTCATACTTGCTGCCGTTGAGATGATACTGGGCAAACTCCTGCATGGGAACGCCAGAAAACACAAATTAGGCTTTACAGCTGAAATAAAGAAGTTGTGCTGTTGGGCTCATACTTCTGTATACAAGTTTAAACTATTTTAGTGCGATTCCAGTTTTTCTTGATTAACTCAGACAAAAGTTAATTCAAATCAAATTCAATTCAGTTCTCTGCCTACTTACAGTCACATAAGACAGTATTACATTCAGCAGCTCATTTTCCATTGGATTTTTGTTTATTACAGAAAATAAGCTCTTTATGATTTTTTTAAGCAGAAATGCGATCACCAGAAGTAAAAAGCTAATGTTGGGCTATAAACGGACTACACCTCGGTCGCATGACCTCAACATCACCACCACAAAATTTCCAACTTGTAATTGGATCTTGTAATTACAATCTACAAGTTGTAAAGTTTGATTTAGAATAGTCTGTCTAGTCTAAACATGAGGCTGTAAAGGCAGACTAGTGAGTAGATAAGTCTGCGTGTTTAATGTCACTGACAACATTTGTAGTCTCATTTAGCTAATTGTTAGCAATCATGAAAGTTTCTTAAGCTTGTATTAACCACAGACCTTATTTTAAGCTTCTAACCTAAAACTCATTCACTTCAAGGAGAGTGAACTGGAGGTTAAAATGCTCACTCAGTTCCGGGTCACTCCTTTAGAGCAAACACCATCTTAAAAAGCCACATTTTGGTTCTATTGATCTAGTTTTCTGATTTCTCTCTAAAACTATTGTTATTACAGTGTGGGATCAGTGTTAGTGGTAAAGGGGCCAAGAAAGAGAAGGATAGTTTAGGTGAGGTTGAATGGATTGTGGGTAATGTAGTCATGCAGACTAGCAGACTGACCAGGCGGGGCAGCAGCAGGTAACTGAAGAGTGTGACCAGCGTTCCCACACACGGTGTGATGAAGTAACCCAACGCTGCTGTCTCAGAGTCTGCATCACCTGAGCGACAAACACACAGGTTAGCTAGCTAGGAATTCTGGGAGAAAGACGTGAATGAGAAAAAACAGTTCAAATAAAGGACCCAAAATGAGCTGTGTCTTTGAAATGGAGCAGAGTGTGTTGTCATGCTGATTTGACTAGCTCAACATCCATTTTGAATGTCCTCAGTTACTAGGCAACTGGGGATTAGGCACCCTGGTGGTGTTTTGTGTGTTATGTGGGTGGCTTACTGCCGATGGCTATCAGCATGGCGATGGCAGCGAAGGTCCCGGCGAGGCCCTGGCCACTCATGAAGATGGCGCTGTACTTCTGAGGCAGCAGACCCACCAGGCCGAACAGACTGCCCTGCAGCACGGCACCAAACGCTGGGGGGGGAAGCATCCGTCAACACTTCTCACTCACATTTACACACATGTACTCTACTCTCACTCTTTCAGGCTTTTACTCACGCACAGTCGCACTGACTTACAGTTGATGAACCAGATGGTAGCCATGGTGACAGAGAAGAAGCGGTCTTCCTCCATGGGCACTTTAACCAGCACTGCTGTGAGGATGAAGAGCACCAGGATGAAACCCAGGCTGCCTGCGATGCGTATCACCCCTGATATCCTGAAACAAGATCACACATCAGCCATTTAACCAAGCACACACACTCTACACCATAAGACATATACAGAGGAATATTATGGCATGAGACATTCATACAAGCAACTTTTTAACAGCCAATACCTCAAGTCTAGGATTCTCAACGAGGAAATGACAACACTAAATTAGATTCATTACTTTTACTGAACAGTATGGGAATTTACATCTTTCTGTGTATGGAACAACAAAATGTCTTTGCATCCTCGGAATTATCTCCTAACTCCGTCACTGACCTCTGGTAGAGGAAGGAGTTGAGCAGGGTGAACAGCAGCAGGGGCAGCTGGGACAGCAGGGTCATCCAGTTGTTGAAGTAGTACTCCTTGCGGACAACCACTGTCCTGTTGCTCCATTCCGTTGTGTTCAGGCGACCTTGGAAGTACTGCAAACCCAGAGGAAACCAGACAGATGTTGGATTATCACTGTTGAATGAGCCCACACTCAAGTACACAAAAAGGTACACACACACACATCTTTCCATGCATGCAAGCATATAAACATATAAACATATTAATAAGTCATTTTTGTCATGTCACCTTAATGTTCCATTCTTTTAAAATTTTAGTTTACAATGTTTAAAAAAAACTGTTTTACTGTTCCCCAACTGAGCTAAGCATTATCTAAAGTTTGGAAAACTCCTCATACAGATATTCAAACATTCATAGAGCGCTCAAAATAACTCCCAGAATCCTCGTCACATTTCAGACAACAAAGAACAGGAATAGTTAAATCCTTGATCATTTTAAAGCTGCACTAGTATTTCTTTATATTGACAATGAGTCCAATGACTATGTGTATTGTCAAAGATAACAAACCCTCAAGAATTAGAACTCTGCAGTTCTCAGCTCAGTTTCCAGACACAGCAGGAAGACGTTTGCAGTTAAAACGTTCTGATAAACCCGCTGTAAACTACCTGCCCAGCAGCAAACAGCAAACAGGCAAAATTAGCAACTAGGTGTTGAACATAGTGAAGCATTTAGCAGCTATCTTTTATGTGTAAATAAGAAACCATTTGCCAACATCATACCAACTTCTTGAGGTTATTAATGTTGTGTTCAGCTGGCCCCAAGTAACCAGAAAAAAAAAATCCATTACTGCAACTTTATGACAACTCAGTCCTTATATATGTTATAATGATCATCTACTTTGCAATTATGCAATAATACAATAATCCAGACTTGTAATGTTGTAAATAAAGAAGATAAAGGCAGATGGTAAACTACTGTAGGGAGCACACTCAACAAAAGGGGAAAAGGGGCAATAATAATTACAATGACTTATCACGCTCTATGAGCAGCCAAGAAACAACATCACACACTGGCATATTACAGTGGCCTTTAATCGAGATACAGGCCCACTTTCATCATATCCGGCTGATTAGAACAGAGATCCAGATAAGTCGAGTGAAGAGGACATTTCACAACACTGCTGCTCTCATCTGATCTGTTGCTTGAGACATTGAAACATTTGTTGTCACTATCCTTGACGGCACATCTACGACAAAGTTTTCTTGGCTTCAGACTTGCTCAGATTTTGTTTATTTGGTAACTTTTCCTTAACTTTTGTGCTTCTACCATGGGTGAGTAGGCTACATAAATAAATGCTTTCTTTTTTTTTTTTTAAATGTATTTTACAGTTGGTAGTCTATTTTATTTTTAAATAACCATTATGAGGCTTATAGGAACCAAATACTGAGACACAAAACAAAACTCTCTACTTCGTTTTAATACAAAGTAGTTTTACTCTTCAGAATGCAGAGACGTACATACAAATCCAGAATACTTACTATACTATGATTTGTGTGAAATTAGAGACAAAAAAAACATGCGTCACAACTGTTTACCAGGTGAAACACGTGCCTGCCTGTGGTTCTCACGTCCTTGGATAAGAATGTTGTTGATATGAGAAACTCCCTACCTCTCTCTCACAGTAACACTGTCTTTGTTACAATAAAAACCGAAGTTCACTTTCCCAGGTTCTGCACAACAAAATGCCGTCAGCTCACACCATGGTCATGTATTGCTTTCTGATCATAACAGAATAAGGCTTTCTTTGGTTTAAATGCACACATCTAGGATCTAAAATAGATAATGTAAAAAACACAATTTCCTTCAACCCAGCATAGATCTGCTCTGTGCAGCTCGATATGAACCGTGTCCAGTGGAATCAAGCAGTCACAGCTCCATCCTCTATCAGTAAGCAGCTGAAAATAGCTCTGACTGAGAAGTGGCGATGCTTTCAGCAGGAATTTAAAGAGTTACACGTATGTGAAAAGAGAGGCTGTCACCCCCCAGCACATGGGTACATGTGTGGGATTACCCAAAGTCATATGACAGGCCGTGTGGATTTAAGGGTCCCCACAGGTCATGACATTTTAATACCCAGACCGCATAACACATCAACAAACCACTTGGTACAAAATACTACCTTGGCTAATCTAATCCATCATCTACATTGCGTACTATTATATTTTAAGATATTTTCTATGTTCTCTAAACAGCTTATTAACCATACAACAACTGAACCCACAATTTCACTTTAAAAGGGAAGGCTTTTATGCAGATCTGACATACATTACAATTACAAACTAGCATCCTATTAACTGGGTCAGTTGGTTTTTATGTAATAAAACATTTATAGGGCATAGATAATGTGTCGTTGAGGGATTAAGTAATTGCCATGTTTTTACCAATGAGGCAGTCATGAAGAAATTCCATGGTAGCAACGTTCCCAGGCCCAGAATGAAGAAACTGATCCCCACCAAGCAGCCCCTGTTGATGGGAAAGAAAGGCCATTAGTTGACAGTAGATAACAGGATGCTGCCTAACCACAACTGATGGAAGTTAAAGTTATAATCCTTAAGATTTTCACAAAATCAAACCCAGTTTTTCATACGATATACTGTCTGCACTTTTTCACCACTAGCCATTTAATACATTTACATTCTATAATTACCCCTCTGTACAGTAATTTCCATTATTAGTGGTGGAGTCCGCCATTCTCAACCTAGACAACTTTAACAGAATAGGGCAAAAGGAACTTGGAAATTCAATAGAAATGCAGTTTGAATTCATTTAGGAAAATAAAAACGTTTTAAAAGAGTGCGAGAGCAAAACAGAGTTTCCGTTTGATTTGAACTCACCGGTCCTGAGGAGTTTCTTTTAGTCCCTTCATCCTGATGTAGGAAGTTCTTTTGAAACTGTAAGGGCAACAGGAGAAAAGAAAGGTCAGCAACATCTCCAAAGATTACAGAGCAAGCAGTTTGATTTCTAGAAACTCCACTGCCAAGGTTTCAGTACTTAGAGATGCAGGAATGCATTTACATTCTAGCGAGGGGCCGCGAGAAGCTGGCAAGAGGCTGTCCAAAAGTGTGTCCAAGGAAATCCTTCAGCAGAGGTCTGATATGTGCCTGGGAATCTGATAATGAGCTCTTTAATCCTCGACTTTTGGTATGTTACACAAATCTTTTAGTGTGAGAATTAACAAAAATCTCTAACAACTTGAAATTCAATGTGAATAAGCCACTGGGGATAGCAGGAGTGCAGATCCAATCAAATGAGCAGACTGAGTGCAGTTTCAATGATTTCCCATTGAGGCTGTAGCACTGGAACGAGCACCCTGTGGCTAGAAACAGCTCTGTCCCTCTCTATCCTGGGAAGAAAACCAAACCCAAACACTCACCTACAGTACTGGAAACGTACTGAAACACTCACTGGCAAAGCTATTCCCACCTATTTACAGCATCGCCACAGGCAAGTATATAACTCCTCTGCTTGTTTTCACATGTTGGGAGGATCAGGCTACACACATAGAGCTACTATCACATTTTCCCCTACTTCGGGAGTGTGTACTAGCTTCTAAAATACAGCTCATCAACAAACCATACATAAATGCAGTTTAACATCGGAGAAAAACAACTGTGCGTGTTTTGCAACTGGTAAGAGGATGTGGCCTGACCAATCCTTTTTTTCCACCGACTCCTCAGTTTGTTTTGCGCAGCTTTTGGTCTCCACTTGCTCGTCAGCATTTGTTCACTTCCCCGATCGACACCTCCTCCTTCCCCCAAACAAAGGTGCAACACAAATCGCACAATTAATTCAGTTGAGTCAACATCTGTCACACGGGATGAATGTCCTTCATTTTCCATACAAGTTAAAATGTTTTCTCCAGGGTGAGATGGTTGGTTGCACAGCATCTCAGTGAGACCGCACATGGTTGTCACATTCTGCCGGCCAGTAAAAACAGCTTGCTCATTGTGGTCTAACTAGAAAGCATGTTTTAGGCAGCTGAGCAGAACTAATCACAGCTAGCTAGTAAATCATGGACAAAGGAAAAGTGATGTTGACATACTGGTCATAAAAACTGTGGTTGTGTTTCATTTCATCACCCATATTATGAAAGAGAATAAAAGGCAGGATGGAAAGGGATAAGACCGTTACAGTGCACGGCTACAATTCAATTAGAACTGACTGTCTGCTGCTTCAAAGCTCTCCTAATATAGCTTTGTTCCTCTGATTTAAATCAGAGGAAAACAGCATGAGGTAAACCAACAGAATTAATATCACACGGTCCTCTACAGTCTGTGATGTGGACTAAAACATTTAGCATTTATCCATGCACGACCAACCTCTAATAGAAACCAGTCAAACAACTGACAGGAGTCTGGTTTCAGTGTGTGTGCGTAACTAAAAACGTCCAAGGGGCGTTTAAGGTCAGGGCTCAAAAAACAGACAAAACACAGAAGCTCCTCTCACTGTGTGAACAGGAATGCCAGCTGGTATAATCTCACCAACAGCCTGATATAAACTACTTAACATGTTTAAGACCACAAATGTCAACAAACACCACATTTCTTCAAACTGCTTTTGTCGTAGTTCTTCAGATAAAGTCAACAATGATAAATCTTCAAGTATTATTATAAGCAGTGTACAGATCTTTTGTCAGTTCATTATTTTTATAGCCAAAAGACATAACATCACCCAATCATTAGGACCAGGTGATAAAAATGTCAAGTGTAAACTTGCAATATTTTGTTCTCTGCAAGACTGGGGACATATTACCAGCTTAAGTGTGTAATGGAAACAACTACACCTGAAGGAAACAAGAAGCCTAAAAGGCAAATTTCTTTTTTTTTCAGAATGTTACTAATATTAAAAGGGGAACGCCACCAATTTTACACATCAAAGTCTGTTTCCAGGTGTTGGGGAGTACTTCTGCATATTCTGAAAAAGTTGTATTAAGCCTTTCGTGGCTCCAGAGGAAGCTGCTCAACGTATGATAAACTGCCTCAAGTGATGTCATTTGAGTCAATGTCAGTTAGGGCTGAAGACTACTAAGTTTTGAAAAGGAAAAATCGAGAGGTAAGGAGTTAGAAAGAAGTGAGCTAACCAGACCACCGTAGCCTGCTACTAGCATAACACGCCAACTTGCATTGTGGGTACTGCAGGAGGCAGGTTTAGACAAGGAAGAAGAATGTGTGGAATAAAAAGGAAATACAATCACTGTGGCTCTGATGCCTTTGTCTGACAGTGTTACAGGAGTGCGAGGCTAAATTAGTGAAGCACCCTTAAAAAAATAAAAATAAATCTGAATTTAGGAATATGCAAATCAATATACTGTTGTCTGCTGCAAGCACACAGGGTGTCTCCTACTTCACTGACAGGTCCACTCTCAGTGTATGTGCACTGAGAATATTTGCAAACTGGACCACACCCAGCTCCCAAATCATGCTTGTGGATACAGGATGCAAACTTATATTAAACAGCCATGTAGTGTCAACCTCAGCGCACATCATCCTGCACGGAGCAGCTCAAACCTCTAAGTCGAGTAACAATAAGGAAAGCCCATTTTTGAGTGGAGGGGGACTTTAACATTCTAGTCCTTTTCTCCACCTTTTTTTATTTCCTAGGCCCCTCCAGCCCCGCTTTCTTTCAGCAAGAAAATTTACAGAGCAAACAGGATGAGTAGCCTCACTGTGAATGACACCTCCTACATCAGGGGTGTCAAACTGATCCGTGAAAGGGTTGGTGGGGCTGCAGGTTTTCATTCCAACCATGCAGCAGCACACCTGACTTGGTTCATTCAATCAACTGAACTGTCTTCACACAGTCAAAAAACTTGCAGCCACACCCACGCTTTAATCAAGGGTGGCTGTTTTTGTTCCAATCAAGCAAGAGGACACCTGAAATGACTGTGTGAAGACGGTTTATTCAATCAACTGAACTAAGTGAGGTGTGCTGCTGCATGGTTGGAATGAAAACCTGCAGCCACACCCTTTCACGGATCAGTTTGACACCCCTGTCCTACGTCATTTAACAGACATGCAAAACGTGATGAAAAATGTTCATGACCTGAATGAATACTGAGGTGGAATGCTACAAACACACTAGCTTTTGTAGGGGAGCCACTACACTTTTCAGATGTCTAACCTACTGATGAGAAGACTGGTTCTTTTAAGTAACCAGGTCTGGTTTGTTCAAGCCGCCACTAGCAAACACACTCATGAATGACTCTTTTGGGTCAGTAATTTCTAGAACCCACACCCACATTCCACAAGATCTCTTCGCTTATTAAGTATATTAAACAAACAACTCTGACGAGTGCCACAAACATACAAACATTGTGCTGTGTGTGTGTGTGTGTGTGTGTGTGTGTGTGTGTGTGTGTGTGTGTGTGTGTGTGTGTGTGTACATGTACTGTGCTACTGGGTCAGCTTGCTCAATGCCAGTGTGTCGCTGAGCAGCGGCTCTCACTCCTTCAGCTCAGGGCACTCTTAAAATCTGGATCTTGCACACAACTCTGCAGGAAGAAAGCAGGATTTTGGATCGACTTCTGCTTGGGAATCGATTTAACTCGTTCCTCTTTAAAGAGTAAAATCAAACATCACAACTCTATTCACTTCAAATTCAGCAGCTCTTGAGAGATGTTCATACACAAAAACTTTACTGTGTCATTCCTCAGTTAAAATGATGTTTTAAGGGCTTTTGTCTGCATATTTCAGGGGGTGTGAGAATACCACTCTGTGGCAGATACCAGTTGTTTAGCTTGAGGCTTCCTAAGAAAGCATTTAGGTGGGAGACGACAATGTGTGGAAGATAAACCGCTGCTCTCATCCCAGCAACACCAAAACACTACTTGAGCCTGTCTCTTTTTTCATTTAGGAAAAAGCCTCATTCATCTTCAGACAGCCAGCTACTGAAGTTCAATCTTGCTCAATCTACTCTAATTTATATTTTCCCAAAACACACTCACAGTAATCAAGTAACAGACATAATAAAATCAACTTACTTTTTTTTTTATTGGGGGGCAGAATTCAATCTATGTCTTTGCCAGGCATTTTCACTGATATATGAAACCATACCTCCCATGTGAAAGTGGAGGGGAACATCATGCAAACCGCACATAACAATTATACCTAGAACTACACACACCCTCAAATCTGATCACAACTTCCGGGCCAAGTGACTTCAAGCAAAAATAATCTTCAAGTAAAGTGGTTTAATCCCAGTGTCAGACATAAGGACAAACATTTTCAGGTTGGCGCGTTAAGAGTTGTGAAAGTTTAAAAGTTAGAAACAGCCATGGCTGAGGGAACGACAGGGTTAGCCTTTTCTGCTACCTGATGCTTCTGTTCTCAGTAATAACAGTTTCTCACATTACCTATGAGCCAGTATGAAATAAGTCAACCCTGGAGGCCTCTGTCTGAGTCACAGCAGATTATTGGTCCTTTCAGTAATCCAGACTGAGTCACATCGACCATGTGTTCTTCTGATGACAGGAACCAAGCAGCTACCAACACCAGGAAAAGGGACATACATTGTAGAATAGACATACAAGTCTTTACCAGATTATGATAAAGTAAATGGGCTCTGTATCAGTTCTCTGTTGAGTAGCTAGGTCCAGACAGGTGTACAGTAGTTGTGTTAAATAGAGCTGTGTCACTGTCACTCACTCAGTAGTACAGGGTACTGCTCTGTAACTGGGAACTTAATGAGCAGAAGCAATACAGAGTGACAGGTGTGGTTTAATATCATGGCTGAATATTAATGGCTAACTCATAGAAAAAGGGACTTTTAGTAAAATAGCATTAAGCCAAGGACACTATGTAGCATCCTGACATAATAATGCACCTGTTCTGTTCTGTTCTGTGAAGAAGCACCAAACGCACCGAAGATAAAGAAACAGTATTAAATTCAACTAGTATTAACATACGTATTGTGTTAGTACCAGCGACTGTATATCTACGTGTATACTCATCCACATGGAGTCTAACCTTACTACGTTACATACAGAGGATGAAACCAGAGCCACGTTCGCACTAGGTTTCGTTACCCAGTCGACAGTGAAGTAAACACCAGTTCTCTGAGAAGATAAATAAAACAACCTTTGAGTATGAAACACAGTGCTGCCTCTGTACAGAAACACAGCCATTTGTTAACACCACGTTAGTGCTAGCTAACGTGACAGAGACTCACCTTGGATAAACGCTTGTCTTCGTCACTGTGTTTTCATGATGTTCCCACCGTCAGTTCAAGCACTCCCGGCACACTAACGGTCCAAAAAGACTCAGAGGGAGGAAAATGAACAGCTGGGTACATGTATCTTTCGTCCATACACGTGGTGGATGTACGTGCAGTGCTACGGTAGTTTATAAAAACCAGCTCGGTGAAATGGGC